ACCACCATATTTGGGACGTCAGCCAGACGAATCCTTGAACATGATGCGCGGCGTGGCGCCAAGCAAGAGCCACGTTCGAAGAAGGAACCGCCCTCCAACCGTGAAGTTTTCGCAAACTTTTGAAACGAATGCGCGCGGCGCTAAGGCGAGAACCACATTTTGAAAGTAGCCTGTCCTCTGGCGCGAAGGCAAGACCCATATTTTGAAAACGACCCGCCTTCATCCGTGAAACTTGCGTGCCGAGTTTTACGAATAATTTCGCGCGGCGCCAAGGCAAGAGCTCCATTTTCAAAATGACCCGCCCTCCATCCTTGAAGCTGTTGCAGATGTCGAGCTTCAGGATCATAAGTGGTGGGGATTTTTCAGGGGAAACGCCGGGCCTGCTCTACCGACCCTTCTCGGAATACCAGTGTTGAGTTATATGTGCGGAAGATGGAGGAGGAGCAGGAGGACCAATGTGAAACCAAGATGCGTTACCGGTGTTTCAATGCACCATCTTTCCAAGTTCCCCCTTCATAGATTATTGCATTGATTTATTTGGATTGAAGGACGTGCCCCAACACAAAAAACAATCGTGTGGGAATCTTCAATCGAGCCCAAAGACAAATCTTTGGATTTCAAAGCCGCCAATCAACGTGATTGTTGCGTCCCGACAACTCTAGATCGTAACATCACACTTATTCCTGAGCCTTCAGCACCACGAGCAAACTTGATTGTTTCGTCTTGACAGGGCGAAATCGTCCCAAAACACCGTTTGTGGGACGACAACCGCACGACTGCTTCAAACTGTTTATTCATTCGACGAAAGTTCGTGGCGCTACAGGGGGGCCCATGCCAACAAAAACACTGCTTGCCTCCAGGGTGCCCTGGGTTTCTTTGGTTCCGATGGTTTTGCTATGGAGAGCGTGACGTTCCCACACCGAAAATCAATGGACGTCCTGGGGTCTCAGGGTTGGGTTTCTTGTGTTGGGTTTCTTGTGGACTGGCCCCCACTGGAAGGCGAACGCCACACTTTGAAAAGGAACCGCCCTCCATCCTTGGAACGGTTGCAACTTCTTAAGGCGAATGTGCGGGGCGCTCAGGCGAGAGCCACATTTTGAAAACGACCCGCTCTCCATCCGTGAAACTTCTGCGAAGTTTGAAAACAATTTGGCGCGGCGCCAACGCGAGAGCAACATTTGGAAACGGCTCTTCGTCCATCCGTGTAACCGTTTCAGATTTCAAGTTTCAGGGACATCATTTGCAAGGAATCTCAGGCGAAACGCCCAGCCCGCCCTACGGACACGTTGGAGGGTGCGGCAGGGAGGAGTTATCAAATGGCCTTCAGTCCATCCCGCCACCGTGCGTGGATTGTGGGTCGTAGGCCTCTAGGAGGTTCGTTGGGATG